AACAACATTAAAAGTTGCGGGCCGCCGCGCCGGCCAGCGCTCCAGCGCCGCAGTCTTTGGGTCATTTGATAACAACACGGCCGTCGAAATGTATCCGCGATTTCACAGAGCGGCGCTGCGGCGCTGCCGGGCCGTGTCGAGCAGTTCCGCGAAAAAGGCGGGAAAGGGAGGCCTGCGGGCAGCCCATGGGCAACCCGCCCCCCAAGTGTTTCCTTTTCACGTCTGCCGCCCGCTTCTTTTCTTTTTTCCCTGTTTGTTCGCAAGGCCGCATATTTCTTCGCTTATGACCGCGTTGTCAGCCTGGTAAACAGGCGGGCTGGCTTGTTTCGGGCAGAGGGAGGGAGAGGGAGAGGACTGCAGGGCTGCGGCGTCAGCCTACGTTCGAGCGGGTAGGCAACCAACCGCACGGCGGCGTCGGCTTCCATTTTGTTGCCTGCTTCGCCTGCTTCAGGCGCTCGCAACCACGACCACGCACTCGCCGTGTCTGTGGCCGTTCTGGTTGTTTTGCCGTCGGCTTCCCCCACCCCCTCTCGGCTCTTGCCGCTGGCGTTCCATTTGACCGCGAATTAGTAACGGCCAGTAACGCCACGGGGCGAGGCGGGGGGCACAGCCGGTTTGAAAACGATTCCACCGGGCAGGTGTGATGAGATGAGAGCCATCGGGGTGCAGCGCGACGTCGTGCAATCTAAAAGTGCCGCCCACAAAAATTAATTTTGCACCGACAAATGATTGGGCTGAAAACTACATTGCGGTGAGTTCCATTAATTTCAATCCCGTCAATTCACCACCGCGTCAAGAGGGGGTACCCCTATAATTGAAATTGTGTCCCCGTCGAGGCGCGGACGGGGTATTGCCTGGAAGGCAGGGGCAGCCCCCAGCCCCCCCCCCACCACACACACTCACACACAGGCGCGCGCGTCGGTCCTGGAAAATTAATTTCCTTTCGCGGACAACAGACCAAAAGGGGCAGGCGGGGCAGGTGGCAGCCGGCCGGATGTATGTGTGAGGCTGGAGGCTGTGAGGCAGCGGGGCAGCGGGGCAGCGGGGCAGCGGGGAAGGGCTTGGATGGGCCGTCCCACCGTGTCCTTCCTCTCCGACCGGCCCGGCCCTGCCCCGGGGCGACGCTCCCGCCCAGCTCGGGTTCTCTGGCTGGCTGCCTTTTTTTGGACGAACCCCCCCACCCGGGTTTCTCTGGCGAGATGCCTATTTTCGGAGAAATCCAACCCTGGTTTCTGTCCATCTTCGGCGGGGCTCCTGGGCGCACTGCGCACCGGCGCCAGTGGACATCGTTACCGCGTTATTGCCCGGGTGCCGCTGCTGGCCGCTGCAGGCGCTCCGGGCGGGGCCGCCGCCTCCCTGAAGGCCGGGCAGCCAGTCAGGCACAGCAGCGGACGCCACTGGGTGATTAAAGCACGTGCAGGCCTTCAATCTGCCTCCCTCGCACCTCCACTTGCCACCCCGCGAGTCCAAAGAGAGACCACGGGACTCTTTCGGAATGAGTCTGCTGCAGCGGAGCGCGGGCTCCTCTCTCGTCGATGGAGCTGCTTCCCGTTTCCGATGCGAACGTGCGTACAGTCGCGGAAATGGGCAGGCTAGACCAGGACGTGAGAAACCCGGCTACATTTTCACTCGGAAATTTTATCAAAAATTCAAAGGAGCTATGGTGGCTGTCTAAAATGCGTCGTTTCGCGCCGCCAAGCTCTCCGGTGCGAGTCCGGTAGTAGAGGGGGTGAAATCTTGCTACTGCGCCCCGGCCGCCCCGGCCGCCCCGTCCCGGCCTATCCGCCATGGGCCTTGCTGCCTTGCTGAGAGAGAGGACGTCACACGACCGCACGCACACACTAGTCGGTTAATAGGGTTCCCATCTCGCTCCGCTCCTCTGTTTTTATCTCATTTCCCCCCGGCAGACGACGGCATGGCACGGCACGGCGGCGACCCTCAAGCCCCGCCGGGACGCACCGCAGAACCCGCGCGTCACTCAGTCCCCCTCTCTCTCGCTCTCACTCGCAGCCGCGGCGAACGACAGCGGAGAGTGCTCATTTTCAGACGCCTCGGGTAGCTCTGGCCCGGCAGCTTCGTGAGCCGTGTGCCGTGCCTGGCCGTGGCCCGGGAGGGACTCAGCGCAAACGAAAAGTCCGGGCGGGAGGACGAGGACGACCAGGATGACGCACCGTGCCGTGCCACGCCGTGCCACCGCTGGGACAGTAAGTGGTTGTTAACGTTATTACGCAAACGCATCATGAAGGGTTCAAATTCCTCTTGGGGCTCCGCCGGCTCGTCCGTCCGCCGGTTCCGCTGCCGCGTCCCAAAAAAAAAAATACGATTTCAAGAAATCCTAGGAGTCACGAAGTCAATTTGATTATTGTGTAAGAGTGTGGAGAAAGAAAAGAAGTTGTGAAGTTGTGGCTCAGGGGACGACCAATGGCAGTGGTACCAATGTGGTAGATGTGCCACCCGTCGAAATTTAAACTTGACAATAAATAGAAATCAAAATGCTGGTAAATTCAAAAAATTCCAATGCTAATGTATTCCGCAGTGTTCTAACAATGGAACATCTTTAAAGTCCATTATTATTAAAATGTTCTTGGCAGAAAGCAGGCAGTAAATTAATTTTCACGGGTTGGCAACTAGTTTCTCGGCGTCTGCGCCCTTGCGAAAATCGCGAAGCTGAAAGCACCAGCAGTCGCGCATTAAAACTGCCCATCCATTGTTGCTGACGTTGAATTGTTTGGCTTGTTTCAAAAGGCTATGGTTCTCTAGTCATGTTTTCTTCAATTCTGTGTAATAGTTCTCCCTTACAACGTATCAACACCACGACGGTTGGTTTGACAAACTTCATAAACTCGGGAGGGATGGTTCCGAAACGCGGGTGAGTCTTGTTCGAGGAACATGAGCACTGCAAGTCGCGAGGTGGAGCGAAATGGTCCTAGTGCTAACTGAATCACAACAACAACAAAATTGTTTTATTGACAGAAAAAAAAGGAATATTTGAGAAACTGTATGTCAGAAAAAAAGAACTTTTGTTTTGCTAATTTTCTGTGAATATTTTTTTAGAAAGTCATCACACAAAAATTGAAAATTTGTTTTATGAATTTTCATAAGCAGGAAACAAAGAAAAAACATGAAAGAGAGCAAAATTAATACAGATTTCAAATGCTACAGTTGGTTTAACTGTTAACAGGTTGCAAACCTACTGTGCATGTCCAAAAACACTCCAATCAAGAAGTATTATTGGCTAGTTCTACCCGAAAAACTGCGTTCAAACCGACACCAATTCTATTGTTGCATCTTGTCTACCTGCAGTCAAAGAAATTTTTCATTTCGAACGTGCTGATTTCAGCTTTTGGAGTAAGCTGTACAGACCCAAAAAGAAGCTCGGCTATTGGTCCGCCCCGGCTCGGCTCCCCCCACTCCCTTTTTTTTCCTTTGACGAGTCGAGTTTTGCCATGGAAACGGCGATTTTGACAGCAAATTTCTCAAAATTGGCCACCAGCTTTTTAACCAGATTTCAGCATGAGAATCAGCGTTCAAAGTTCTACAAGTCTGCAAAGTCTCATTAAAATCGTATAGAAAATTTCCGAAATGCATAAAGGGCCACACAAATTGAATCTCGGGCCGGCTGAATCCTGGGTATACTATAAGGCTACTTCGTGCCTAAAAACCGCCAGCCGCCGCTCTCTCTCTCCCTCCGCAGTGACTGGCCGCTGGGAGTGACGGAGACGGGGATAGCTTTCGCACGCGACATCGGAGAGGCCGCACGCTGCTGTCCCGACCGCTATTATTACTGCCGCCCTGCGACGCCCAGCGATGACTCCGAAGGGTCGTCGCTCTGTCTCCCTCGCACCCCAACGGGACGCCGCATGAGTGCGACAGAGTGATGATACGATCCTCCGGACCCATCGCTCGGCAGCCGATTGGCCGGCGACCGCGCAGTTTCTCCTCGTCGTCATCGATCAGTCGCAAGCAGTGCGAAGCGGCGCTTCGACAGGAGTCCTAGGACATGCTAACCCGGCGTAACCTAGCCGCCCGCAGCGACCTCTGTAATGCTCTATAGTCGCTTATCGGAACTAAGTGTAAAAATTGGAGAGCCGCCGCTTCCGGTCGGGCAGCCGGACCGGCCGCCCCGCGCGAGGGCCAGGGGTGCCACCCTTGGTGCCACCGCGTGGACGCTGCGGCCCCAAACAGCCCCAAAATGCACTGTATTATTCAGGCCAGGGCAAGGGGTGGGGGGTCGGGGAGCTGAGGGGGGCCGACGGTCGTTTGTCTCACTCAAGCAGGCGGAATGCGGAATGGTATTGATGCCAGTGGCGTTCATCCCACCAGAGACCACCCCCAGGGCGGGGCAGGGCGTGTACGAACAGCTAGGTGTGCTTGATAGGGGAGGGGAGGGTTAACGGTACCGCGATGGGGCGATGGGGGTGGCGGGTGAGAAGTGGCAGCCGGGGATCGTAAGATTGGTGGCAGGGGGAGTCTCTAGCCGGAGGGCCCCAGCCTGAGTCTCGGCGGAACGGCGGGCAGCGGCAGGGCGGTGATCGAGGCGAGGCACCGCCGCACGGCCGGCACCGCGTCGGGGGAGCGAGACATCAAAGCCAGCCCAATAAGGCGGTGCCTGGCAGTCCTGGCAGTGCCTCGAAACGGAAACCCCCGTAACTGAACACGCCCCCGCCTGGCTCGGCCCGCTCTGCCTGTTACGTGCTTGTTCCCCCCCCCCCCCCCCTCCCCCAAATGGTTGGAGCTCAACGAGGTCGCCGGCCGCCGGGGCCGCTGGGGGCAGCGCGCAGCGCAAGCCTCCAACTCTTTGATTTCCAGCTCAAGCTTGAAAGGTCGGCAACTTGAAGCGCCTGCGCAGCGCTGCGCAGCGAGCACCACCCGGCAGGACCGACAGGCAGTCGGTGTCGTGTTTTAGTAGGGACGGCCCAGGAACAGCCACGCGCTGCCTCGTCTTGAGGGCAGCTGGGGTCAAGCTGGGAGTAAGGATGGAATAACAGGATCTCGGCTCCTTTCAGTTTGTACAAAAAGATCTATTTACCAACAAATTTTTAAATTATTTACATAAAGAAATTGAACATGCGGCGGTTTACATCTGGGTAGTTGAGTGAACAGCAACTCTTTGGTGAAAGACTGTTGCAGCCCCAAAGTGCAATCCTGAAATGAAACAAGTCAACTATAAGCATGTTGGCTAATTACTAGCTAGTACTTAAAAAAAAAATATTCTTTAGCTTGCCTGTAAATTATCACCAGAGCACATCACGGATTGCCACTCATTATACTTTTCACGACACTCTCGAATTTTCTGGAGGAAAGAGGAAGAATTAATGAACAGTGGAAGTTCACAGTAACATGACTCAAAGAATGAAAAAATACAAGCACATCATTTCTAAGTAAGATAAAAATAGGAATTACATTTTAGAAGTTATGTTATGATCAAATGGTGAGCTATTTCAACTTACTTGGAAACAATGTGGTCTCCAGGAATGTAAAACGGATTGCATACAACATCAGTATATGCTGCATGTAGTCTTCTAAACATCTAAATACAGAAACAGAAAAAGACAGGAACCATTAAAACAAATTTCAAATACAGACCTATGCAATGACAAACCAAATTTGCGTCAACTCACCTGTCTTACTTCGTTGTCTCTTAACGTAGTGTTAGTAGCTTCAACTATAACAATGAACTTGATTTTAGTATTTGTGACATATCCAAATCTTCAGAAGTGTCAAGGAATGAACTCTAAATCTTAATAACACAAGGTGGCAAAACAGAAATGGCTAACACTCAACGAACGAATGAATGAATGAATGAATGAAACAATTTTATTGTGTCTGAAAGGATACATTTTATGCTCTTCGGTGGAGTGCAGGAGTCCTAAATAAAGTTCTCGGACATCATTGTTTGATTTCCCAGCGAGTGATAGCTTTTCTTCCACAACATCTAACGCTGTATGAACCTTGTAGTGAAACTGCAGTTCATTGTCGGAGTTTAGGCACGATACATACTTGGGAGAGTTCTGTAGAAAAAATAAAAACTTATCATCAAGAAGAAAACAACTTAATCGATGAAAGGAGAAAAACCGTCCCAAAACAGGATGGAAATCGAATCAGTTAAAAATCTGGTGCTTTTAAATGCACCTGGCTGTCACTGATGGTTAGGTTATAGTGCGGCACTTATCATCGTTGAACAAGAAAAACAATGTGACAATTGAGCTCACACGTAGGACTGAAGCCACTGACACTTTCCCTATATTCAATCTGATTGAATACAGTTTGGGAACGTCAGAAACAAAATTACCTCCTTCCCGATGACAGCTATGCAGACCGCCATATTTGTTGATGACCAGATTCTGTACATAAGCGTTTCCTCAGCTATTCGCAGACACAGAAACTATCCCCAAACAAGACAGAATTTTGAAGCAGAAAGCAAATTGTCAAGCAACTTAAAGTGCAAGAAAGTAAATAGTTTCGTTTTAAAAGGCTGTCTCCAGATCTTCCTGTGAAATGCAGTGGGGTTTCTAATCCAATGAACTGGCAGCCACATATGGCTGAAGAAGCTAGGGGGAAAGCATGACAATATTGATCTTTTGGCTGACCATCAGCTGATAATGGAACTGAACAGACATGATGTGTAAAACGTTGCTAAATCGGCAGATGAGCTATAAGCCAGTACCTTTGCAACAAAACTTGTGCAACACCATGTCAGGATCCAACTTACGCTTCATGTCTGTGTAGTGTATATCTAAGAACAGGAACTGCAGACATGAGGAAGTCCATCAAAGTAGGTTAAGATAGTTTCACACTATGTGATTTGTTATTCATGGGATGATTGTGTTTCTTTTTTGTTTTCTTTCCATTTGCCAAGTTTCGTTTTCTTTCGTCACACAGAAAGCAGAATGCAATTGCTACTCTCAAATGGACATTGGAGAAGTGAAGGTAGCAGATGATCAAGATTTCCTGAACCTCAAGCATTTGGTGGAGGATGAACCAGGGTGGACACTTGAATTTAACAAGGAAAACACAAAAGTGTGGACCAAACCAGCTCCAACCACAAGCTTCAAAATGGTGAAGGTAATACCACAATGTAATCTATACTTGAAGTCCTCATATAGCACGGATCAAATGAGCGAAACTGTTACATCTTGTCTCAGGTAAATGCTATATTCTCCAATGTCGACCCAGACGTTCTGTATGATGTGCTCCATGATCCAGAATATCGCAAGGTCTGGGACTCCCATATGATTGAACAGCAGGACATTGGCTCCCTCAACCCTAACAATGACCTTGGCTATTATGCAAGTATGTTCAATTATTTAATCACAATGTTGCCTGTTGCCTGTCGCTCATGCTCCTAAATAGCTACTGATTCATGTTATTTTCTTTCTTGCAGTGACTTGTCCATCACCTGTTTCTAAAAGAGACTTCGTACTGCAACGGTCTTGGCTAGACACAGGGCAAGAAAAATACATCATCAACCATTCTGTGTTTCACAAAGGTTTCCCACCGCGGAAGGATTTCATTCGAGCTAAGTCCTACATTACAGGTAATAACTAATTATTTGTTAAAACATTAATACCATTGATGCAAAATTCAGTGAAAACTGTCGGAGCTTCAAGCCTGATTTGGGAGAAAATTCATGTTATTTGTTTTCAACAAAGTACTACACTGGATTCACCTCAAGCATATCACCTAGAAACACACACCTGCTACACAACATTTTTTTTTAGCTTGTTAAAATCTCTTTTTTAGTGTTTCAGCAACACAGTGTAATATTCTTTCGCCCATTTTATTCACCCACCTCATGGAAAAAATGGGAAGTTGTTTTTGTCCAAGGACTTCTGTCATTTATTTGAGAGCATGTGTCTTACAGGGTTCTTAGTTCGCCCCTCCAAGAATCAAGGATGCTACTTGGACTATGTGTCACAGTCTGACCCCTGTGGAAAGCTGCCCTCTGTCCTCGTCAACAAGCTTACGCAGAAAGTTGCACGAAAGGTGCTGATAATATTTTTGTAGCTGTGCATCCCTGCTCTAGATGTGGCTGCCTTTTGTGTTTTGCCTTCTCTTAACTGTGTGCCAACTGCAATCTGCTATAAAAAATTTGAAATCTTGTGCCCTTATTTTTCTTATTTTGTGCAAGGCAAGATCGCTGAACAAATTATGTCTTATTCAGTCCAGGGTTTGTCTATTTATTATTCATGTCTTTTCTGTTATGACATTTGAAAAAAAAAAAATTAGCCTTGCAAGTATTCTTGCCCATTTTTTTTCAAATCTAGATATGTTATAATATTTCAGTCTTTCCAAAAAGCTTGGTAACTGTATTATACCGGTAATTTGGGTGTTTCTTATTTTGTAGTACGAATCGGTTTTATTATGTAACAACCCTGCTGCTGTATATATACATTGTGTATCGGTACTTTGATTATGCTTTTACTTGGGTTGTTTCCTTTCAGTGTTCTAACTGACTTACTCTCATTGACTGTAGAAAGCTTCTAAATTAGATCAATGTGCAGGCTAAAACTTGCCAACGTGTTCAAGTTAAATATCAGTTGCCCCTTGTCGTGGTACAGTTTGGCCTGTACTGTGTAGAGTGTCTCTACTCTAGAATGATATCTTTGCTACTGTAGATGTGTGTTATATGTGTGTGTTGGCTGCCTATGTGCTAATATTACCGTCAAGGCCTTTTGAGGGGCAATAGAGGGGCCTATTGCCTATTTTAACAGGAAGGTACAGAAGAAATGGAGAAACTTCTCCTTTTCATAAATCATTGATAGCACCCCAAGAACTTCTGTAAAAAACAACCACAAGCTTTTGAATGTTGCGAGCATGTACCACAGCAACTTAACTTTTTCATAAAGAAAACCACACACCTCTGTGCAAGTTACTGTTACATCACTACAAATTCAAGTCACAGCTGTCGCTCATTATTCCAGCCAAGAACTGCACAAACCACGGTTATGGTTATTTTAATTTCCTTTGATTTATTTAGCCTTGTTTGCCTCAGTTTTACTTTTGTGCTATTGCTGTACTGTTTTACAGTTGTTTCATTTAAAAACAAGTTTGTTTTCATTGGGAAAATTTTCTTCTTTTACTGATTTTTTTTTCTTTATGTTCTTGGAAACTGAAAAATGCAAACTCGTGGCTGTCAGTCAGTGCACTGTCACCCCTGTCCCTGTCAAGCTTTTAACTAATACTTAAACATGTACATATATTATGAAAAAGATTGCAACATTTGACCATTCACTCAACATTACACTCCAAAGTTTTGACAACCAAGCAAAAGATCAACCACATTTTTTGTCTCTTTCTTATCCAACTTTCTTCTGCTACCTGTCAAAGACTAAAATTTTAAGTGTTAGTGGTAGATTATTTTGATTGAATTGTGCTGTTTCTGTTTTGATTAATGTGTATAAATTTTTTAGGCGTAAAGTGGACTTCATTCTGGTTGAGCTTGTACGAACAAAGGTGACAGTGTGTGTGGTTGCAGGATACATAGTGCGTCCGTTTGGTCCGCGCGGGTGCCGCGTTGACTTTGTGTCCCAAACGGACCCGCGCGGCAAGCTGCCCCCCTGGCTTGTCAACCGAGCGACTCACATGGTCGGACCTAAGGTGCCTCAGGCGTTTTCCTCTTTCATTATTTTTGTTGTTTCCGTTGTTTTTTTGTTCTTTTGCTCGCTCTTCACTGTGTGTTCGTTATGACCATAGTTCTCATTTTCTTCGACGTTTTCAAATTCTAAAAAATGTGGCTTGATATGTGCACAGATAAGATGGACTATAGCTTTTACTCTTTTCTTTTTAATTTGTTTTCATTTAAGTTTAGTATTTTCTCACCTAGAGAAATTTTTATCTCATGCATTTCAGGTTTCTAAAGTTTTCTCTTACGTTTTTGACATAGGGCAAATTGTATTGCCTTGGCTTGGCTGTGATTTTTTTGTCAGACAGCCTTAGTTACCAAAGTGACTTAGGCTGTCTTCTACAGCCTCAGTGCCTCCATGGAGCACCCCTTCCCGATTTTAATCTAATCTTAAGTGGTACCTGTTTTGACGTCAATATTGTCTACGTTCTTTGAGTTACTTTTCTCTTAAAGGGTTTGAACTATTGTGGTGTGAAAAGGGCAGTACAGTGCTTCATAAATTTAACCAGCAAGTTGCAATATTTAGGTGTGTGGCTTCTGTCTGTGACCGCAGAGCTAACTATTATAGTCAGATGTTGGTAATTACATGTGATTTTAATCTTATGTTTCAAATTATCAATGCTTGTATTTATGCAATCTGCTTCAACCGCTTTCAGATGGCTTTCTATATTCAGCACTTGTCTACTGTTTGAATATTTATTTTTTTTCAATGTTTATTTTTGTGGGAGAGAGAGAGAGAGAGGAGTGCTGAGAACATTGCAATGATAGGAAACATGACAATATAGATGATTCAAAATTGATCTTCTCTTATTATTTGAAGAAAAACTATACCTTCCATTATAAACTATTATTGCTGTCTTCTCCTTAGTAATGCATTCAGTTAGTTTCTTCTGTTCTTAGCAGAGGCTGTGTAGTCTGTGCATGTCATTTTAGCAACCTAACTTGATATCAAGTGTGCCAGACATGTCCTATTTTCGGGGCATGGATGCTTTGTTTCACAAAAAGTAGCAGGCTGCTCCGTCTGGCACGCTGTTTCAAGGGAGGTTAATTAATAATGCAGTTTGTCTACAACCATAGCATTACGATCTACACCTTTATTTAAACTTAAGATGTTTTAAATAATTCTACTATCAATTATCAACATGAAGGTGTTCTCTTTAAAAAGATGGAACTTAATGCGTTGGTTAAATTGTTGGTCTGCTGCTTCAACCTGCCATCATGTATCAACCACCTGAACTAATGGATTTGGTGCCATTCGCCTTCCAGATGGTTGCAACGCTGCAAGAGGCATGCCAGGGGTACCCTGAATGGAAAATGAAAAACAACCCAAACTGGAAACCATGGCACAATCCAGAACAAATGACCAAGCCTCGTGTGAAGTTGGAAGATGTAAGATCTGATGATTAGTGAACTCAAGCACTTCAAACTATCTGTTTAAAGGTTATAGTATTTAAACTTATTTCTATTTCACAGTGCAATCCAACACCTGCTGATTTACAGTTTGCTGCAGAAGAAATTGTTGGAGGAAAGTCAAGCAGTAGTCGGAAAAAATGAAAGTAATGTCTTCCGATTTATAAGATACCTGCTATCTCTTGGCATCATTTAAATCCCAATATTATGATGTTACTTAAATCTTGAGGTTTATATGTGTAGGGGGCCTACATGCAAATCACAGGGTCCATGAATGCATTTTTTTTTTTTTGCCTGTCCCTTGCATGCTTTGTTGATAGCAAATTTCTTTGCAAACAATTAACCATCAACCCAGCAAGACGTACTGTACTTCATCTACATCGTTGAGTGATTTTGGGGCTTAAAATTAAATGATTTACTACAAATGTTATCTGTGATAATATAATCTGTTATCATTTGGTGTAAACCTTCTAGATCTCTTGATCAGTTTTATTCTGGTTTTCATATTTCAAAATAGAATGTGAATTTATGAGTCGTTGGTCTATGATAAGTGAGCCTGCTTGATCTCAAAGAAAGGGCCGGCAGTTTTTGTGGTGGCGTGGCTCACAGATTCACTTCATCAACCAACTTTTTCTTTCATTAGGTGAACTGCTCTACATATCATCTTTGGACCTAGAATTTCTCGTCTGAATTACTATCAAGTCTGTTCTCCTGCTCCTTCTTCCCCCTGTAAAGCTTAAGACTGTTGCTGCTTCCCCCCCCCCTTTTTTTTCCAATTTTTCTTTCTATTCTTGATTGAATAAATTGGTTAAGCCTCCCTTTCGTGGGGCTATCTCTTCCAAAAACTCAGGCAGTACTGTGGAGCAATAGTTCACTCTGACCCTTTCAATTAAAAAACTAATTTAACATTTAAAAATCAATTCTTGTCGTATCTTCCTTTATGTCATAACTGTATGCCGCTGTGTTCGATATGTTTGGTTTCGGGTGGTAATTTTTCTATTTTAGATGTTAGCTGGCCATCGGCCTATTTCAGCTTTTTGAAAAAATGCAATGAATCCTCAATCGGCAGTAATAATATGACAGCAAATAAATTACAGTTACAAATTGATTTTTGTTTCTAATGTGAGGAAAGGACAATCTCTCTTGTATGTTTGTCAAATTTCTGTGGACATTTTTTGATGATTGTGTGCGGGAAAATGATGAAGGGATATGATTAGTGATTATGCTCTGTGTTATAAAGGAAGTACAATACTTAAAAATAACCGCCTTAAAAGGCCAACTTATACTTATTCAAACTTAGAGTATTAAATGGTTGTGCTATTTTCTGCTCGAAAGGCAATATTCCATAAACTGTTATTACCTAGTCTGTGCTAAAGTGCATCTCTATTTACCCAGTATTATTTTCAATGTACATGTTTTGCTTTGGGGTCAAAGCCCAATTTCTTTTCTCCTTATGGAAGTGTTACAGATGCCATGTTATAACCAGGTTATTGAAAAATAAAGAAAATTTGGTACCAACCAAACGTTTTAAATATACTTCCTTCAGCGCCCGAATCCTGGTCACCCTAGAGTACCGGCCTCCGCTTGTTGGTGGGGGCAGAGGGACAGGTGGGAGGGGGAGAGGGACGGGGAAGGCTAGCCTGGCAGGTCTCGGTCTGAGGTTGGGTGGGAGCCCGGCGCGGCGCGGCGCGGCGAACGGGCCATCCCAGCCCGGCCCGGCCAGCAGTGTAGTGTATCGTTAGCCACCAGCTGGGCACCACCTGTGTGAACGTGCGCGCTTCGCGGAGTCCACTGATCCAGAAGTTATCGTAGTGTATCGGTCTAACCACCACAGCGTCGCCACGTCGTCTACGTCGTCGAGGCCAAGACACTCGCGGGGATGAACGGGCCGTAGCGGCAGCAGCGGTCTGTTCAGCCAGTGGCCGACAGATCGGCTAAGGCAGCGCGTCGTCTGCACCAACAAAACGGAAACAAACAACAACAACTAGCAGGAGAAGAAGCACAGAGGCTGCGCGGAGCAAACAGGTGTGTGTGAGTGAGGGGAGGGAAAAGGGGGAGGGGGTCTGGGTGGGTGCTCGAGACGATCCAGATGGAGGGTGGCAGCATCCTTTGTCTAGTCCCTTCCGCGCAGGGCTCGCCTTTTGTCAGGTCGAATGTGTACTCAACGCAGGGGCAGCAGCAAAGGTTCTGCGAGAAGGAGAAGTCTGACCACTCCTGTTTCCCCGTGGCAACCCGCCGAGCTCGCGTGCCAAGCTACCGGCTGGATTGCCTACACTCACGGCGTAAAGATAGGCAACCCGCCGGGCTCGCACGCGCACCTACCGGCTGGGTTGCCTACACTCACGGCGCGAAGGTAGGCTACCCGCCCAGCGCGCCTGCAAGTCCACCGGCTGGGTTGCCTACGCACACGGCGCGAAGGTAGGCTACCCGCCCAGCGCGCCTGCAAGTCCACCGGCAGGGTTGCCTACCCTGTCCGATAAATTTGTCCAGGCTGGCCGGAGCCGTTTCGATTCGATTCGATGATAGCGCCGTCCTTGGGGCGTGGATGGTTGTGCCGGGGGGGGGGGGCACCGTGCAATGGGCCGGAGCTGATAGTGCTGTGTAAGGGCGCACCCACGGGACGCACCCATAAGGAGAAGCCCCAACGAATCATCAGACCGCTCCAACTCTTTCCCGAAACTGCAATGGTGTTGTTTTCTCGCGTGGCCGTGGATTGACGCCAGGCGAGGGAAGACGAGCCGGCCACCATGCCACTTTCTTCTTGACCTTTGCGTGTGCTAGACAATAAAGTTGTAAGTATTGATTTCCGAGATTGCCACTCCCTTGCCACTCCTCCCTCTAATAAAGGCCTTCCCCCACCGTGTAAATATGCAGCCAGGGGTCGCTGACTGCCCGGGCAGGACTTCCTGACCGCCTTCCCCCCTTTTTTATGCGGTTGTTTTGCTGCTGTAATTTCTGGCCCCTGTCCCGAAGGTGCCCGAAGGCCGAAACGCATTCTCCTCACGAGCGGTGTTATTCGGTTCCTGGAAAGCAGGGCCCTTCCGGGCAACGCACTGGAAGTATCGCATGACGTTGTTGGTAGGACTGCTTGCGCTTGGGGCGCGGCCAGCGCGGCCGGGTGGGCACACCATAAGCCAAGCGCGCCCCTGCACTGTCTCTGTCTCTCTCGCACCGTGCGCCGCGCCCCACGAGTGCGAGAGAGACAGCAACCCGACGCGGACGCCGTGTTTGTTTGACGTGGCGCCTTCCGCGTTCGAAAACAAACACGGCCGAGAGCTCACGCCGCGCGCGGCGCCTAGCGTCGCCGTGTCGCACGCCGCGCGAATTTGACGCACGCGTGTCGAGCGGCAAGGTCGACCCGAAATACCGAAAAACGCACGTGCGCCGACCTCGCGACCAGGCCTGGGTTCAAATCCCGGCGAGGGCCCTTTTTTTGCGCGGCCACCCTGCCCGCCTCGGAGCGGCATCGTACGGTAGTTTGCACCCGCCCGTCCCGTCCGTCTGCACAACCCTCAGCCTCTCGCTCTCGTTTTTGGCGGTGCTAAGCCTTTTGGCAGCCGGCCGGCAGCCTGCTCTCTGCGGCGAGCGCTTGGCTCAGGCTTGGCCGCGCTTTGCGCGTGACGCAATACTCTTATTTTCTAGTGGCGCGCAGCCCCGCTGCCCCGCGTGAGGACCAAAGCAGACCGAACGCGCATTCCTGGAGCGGGTGTCGAACCCAGGTCCGCCGGTCGTGGAGGATTTCCAACTCGAACTTGATACCCAGCGCTGCGGAGTAAGCATTGACATAGACAAACAGATGCTGAGGGTTGAAAGTTTTGCCCCGCTAGACGAATTCTCGGCTGAAATAATGAGCCGTCTGCGGGTTGTGATAAGCAGAGGCTTTCGACACGGATAGCGCGGGAATTAGGCAACCCGCCAAGCAGCCCCTGTTAGGCCGCGCGCGCGCCCAAGTAGTACGTTCCCCCGGCGAAACCCTACCGGCCGCAGGGGTATCTCGCCAGGCACCCGTCGGCCAGACCGTCCACGCCACAGAGTGCGGCTTCGCCGGGCTTTGCCCAGGGTGTTGTGTGTAGAGTTGGTGCACTGCCAGGCTGAGGCCAGGCCCTGGCCAGGCGGGGCGCGGAGGGACAGTGAGTGCTTTGAGCACGTGCTCGTAGAGCCAGGTTTACGAGGTTTGCCGGCGTGGAGGGCCGAGTCTATCTCTGTCGCACTGCTTGGGCTCGAGCAGGGCGCACTGGCGGGAAATAAAAGCCGCATTTAGAGGCCGCCAACGAGGTGGACGGCGGGCGGCTCGCCGAGGTCAGTAATGGCCGAGGCCCGTAAACAGCAGACTCGTCTACGGGACGTCCATGAGTGCGAGCGAGGCAGAGCGACGAAAACAGTGTGCAGGGAGTACTGTTTGGGCTGGTGCGATGCGTTCGTTGCCACTTCCCAGTACATGTTGTGTACACCCTGGTCTTCCTCGCGCCGATCCATAAATAAACGATTCGGTGTGGTATTTGAACCCCGGACCGCTCCCGCGTGACTCCTGCAGGACCAGTCAGGTCACGCGATCGCTTCCAGACTGCCTTGAGGCGCTTGAGACGGTAGCGACACCCGTCAATTGGCGAGGCGGGGCGTGGTGTGGCGAGCGGCCAGGCCGGCGAGCCAGGCCGCTGGGGCCTCCTCTCGAGGGTCCGCATGCAAGTCTTCGCCACGCGCCTCACACAATACGCTGGCACGCGCCGCACGCGCTGTCAAGGATAAACGCCTGTCATCGCACTGTCATTTTCCATTCGTCAAAGTCTCAGCTCTTTTTCTCGCGGAAATTACAAAGCTTATGTAGTATGCCCAAAGTACTTTGTTCCTAACAAACTGTGTGTAAGGCGCCTTAGTTTGTGAAGTGAGGGACGCTGGCTGGTTTGACACTGGCTGACGCGCTACGTCGCCGGACAAGTGGGCCAAGGATGGTCTGCCGAGGCAGTGGACTTCGAGTTCGCTCTTCGCCGTGCTTCTCCTTGGCTGGTCGTCAGTCCGGATCCAATTGGATCCGGTTCTCGACCCATGTTTCCCTTACCCGCTGGCTCCTGTGTGGACGTCTCCGCGAAGTCGAAGAAGGCCGGCGTGTGGAGCACTGAAGGCAAGGGCACACAGACAGCTTGTAGTATCCGCCGGCCCATCCGGCTGCAGCAGGCGGCCATGATGCGGCAGCACGCTGTTATCGGTATCGTTACTACGAAATGCTCAAGTTGGGATCGCCACGCCGTGTCCTGCGGAAACTCACACCACCCACCGTTTGCGATTGCGGTGATAGGCTGACACGGTGCCGCGCATGGTGGGCAACCCAGGCAACGCGAAAGGGTTGGCAACTTCAGCCACAGCCTGCTGGGAAGCTCATTGCCTAGGACAGTTTGACGTTAGCGAACCTTCCTACACTGGTGCTGGTCGTTGGACTGTTCAGCCATGTTGGATGGAAGGTCTATGAGACTGTGTGGTGAATGTCGTCCCGTTTTTTCCCGCTCGATCATGGTGCTTGATGCCTTGGTGCCGGAACGTCGGGCGGAACGTCGATACCGAATGGAGGTGGAAGGTGACAAGCCGGGCCGGGTTTTGGCGGTGGGTCGAAGTGCGGAGGCTACACGCTAGGCCCTCCCTGAAATAGCGGCGTTCACTGTGTTTGCCCAGGTGCCTTCCGCCCCGCTGGGTGTACATTTGGAAACGTCAACCATTTCCTCGCATTTACCACCGAGAGGTTCTCGTTTGGCCGAAAGGAAATGTCGAGGCTGGAGCTTCACCGCGTCTAAGACAACCTGGCGTTGCCTTTGCTTGACCGACGCTGCAGGCTTGCCTCTCACTCTCCGCCAACGCCAAGCCCCTCTCTCTCCCTCTCTCTCCACCTCGCCGGGCAGACGACCTCAATTACGCCGTCGGTACCCTAGGCCCGTCCTAGGCCCCGTGGTGTCAACGACCTCGCCTGGAGCTCGCCGCGTGCCTCCACTGTCAGTTGCAGAACGGAACAAATCCGGCGGCTTCTTCGCGAACCGGAGTCCCACCGATTCTTGAACGAAAGGCGTCTGTCTGCTTATCGCTTTCGCGCGCTTTCCCGCATGGGATCGATTGGGACGTTTGTTGTTCATCGGCATACTTCAGGCTAAGCCGGCGGGCAATGAGCAAACAGTTGCGGGTTTGAGACAGAGAAACGTGCCAAGGTCAAGACCGGCGAGCCGCGCCTGGCCGCGCCTAGTGCGGTCTGCCGGCCCGATGGGTACTCGTCTCGTCCGCCAGCCCTAGGCCAGGCCGTCGACTCGACGTACGTGCACGTGTACTTGTTCACTTCGACGTCGTCGAGCTCGCTTCGTTTCGCGCCCCGCTTCGGGAATGACCCGCAGCGGGGCCGAAGCGCGCGGAACTCGCAGCGCACTCCCGCGGCCACTTGCCGCAACTCGGACGAAAACATGACGTAAACCCCTCCCCGCGCGCCGCCCCGCCCCGGCAGTGCCAACGCACCGCACTCACATTCCCGGCATGCTTCTTGTTTTGCAGACCCCACGCCTGGCCATGGTGCTCGCGACGACGGCGGACTCGAAAGCGCGGCCTCTGGACGCGAGCATGAACAAGTCCAGGACCAGCACCAAGTCGCGGACCTCGCGTTCGTCCAGGGCGCCCAGCCGCAGGGACAGAGCGCGCGGCGGTTGGTACTGCTGCCCCTGCCCACTGACAGCCCTCCGCAGGCCGTGCGCGCCGTGCGGTGGCGGTGGTGGTGCAGGCCCCGAAGAAGAAGGAGGACTCTGGCCCGCGCCGGCGAGGTTCTACTGCTGCCGTGCTGACTTGGTGGCCGCCATGGCCCGGGAGCACACCAACAACAACGACTCGAAGGCCAACCGACCCGCCACGATGGACGACGACCCCTTCGGCGACGCCGTCCTGGTGGACTACGACGACGACGACGACCTGGAGGTGGCCGAGGAGGCGCTGCCCGACGACACGTTCCGGGAGGTGTTCGACAGGTCGCACCAAGGCGACGCGGACGAGCGGTGGCGCGTGCTGGAGCCGGTACGTCGCAGTCCCTGCTTCTAGCCTGCTTCCAGTCCGGCTCAGGACCGAACCGGATGCCCACTCACTACTTCCGGTTCGCGCCCCGGAACGGTCCACCAATCATCGCCTCAGCCTCCAGGGCTCCTTCCCCTCCCCACAGTGCGCACTTCGGCGCCACCGGCCCCCCGTGGAAGTCCCTTTTGGCTAGTTTTGGCGGCCTAACCTCAAAAAGAGATGAAACGCTGCTTATATAAGCGCAGCTGGTGACGCCCCTGTCGATTTTAAGGGGGAGGGGACAGGGCGGGTGAGGGCCGGCGGTCGCGGTGTCTCGGGTTGCACACCTCATGCACCGTGACGTCACTGCCGCCTTTGTTGCCGTACTACGCCGCGCACGCCGCGGCACCCGGTCGTATCTCGGAATGAGTCATGGCGGTCCGATAGGACTGCGCAAGGCAGATGCCTTCCCTAGGCCTTCCCTTGGCGCCAATGCCGAAAATGAATGAATGGAATGTTGTGATGGTGTGGGCGCCGCCTCGGGTCGGAAATCGTTGGGAGGGGGTCCGTTCGGGAGGGAAGACATTACCCGCCGGATGTACGGGATGAACTGCAGCTTCAGTCTGTTGCTTTCACATTTGACAATCCGCGTCCCGTGTCAGATCCGATGCGTCTTGTTTTCTCGCTCGACACGATCCCAGCCATCCCATCGCTCAGCTGAGTCCGTTTGGCGGGAACGTGTTGCCTGGCAACCGGTCTGCTGGACTTGCGCGCCGAGTCAGGGGCCTGCACTGCACGCACTGCACGGCCCTACACTGCATTAGTCCTGCCTTTGGTCCCCCGCCCCACCACCTTCACCCGATGCCTTCATGCCACTCTTCAGGCGCCGTCCGAACCATTACGTGAGACGTCCTTCCCCAGAAGCAGCATACTCTCGACAGTGTTCTTCGTTATCTAGATTGCTTTTGTGTTACAGGATTTACCTTACATTGAAAATCTGCCTCATCAGTTGGACGCTGGGCGGGCCATCGTGGTGGACCTGACGGTGCTGCCTGATGCATTGGGGTGAGTCAATTACCTAGAAACATGAGACTAGTCTTATCGAGGGGGGAACAACTACCCACATTCATTGTACAAAATTAAGAACACATTCCCACATTCTGGAGGAAAAACCGCCTGTAAGTAGGCAACACGCGTGACAAATACAGCAGAAATCTTGCACATTCTAACATTCCCACACTCGTACACTAATTTTCACAGTGGGTCACCCCTCGAGTCTTATGCTAAAAACTTACTTACAATTACTTCAATTTTTAAAAAAGACTAAAAAGTTACAATTATTTTTCACTTTATACTTTCAGATTTGCTATTAATCTGAGCTGTGGAGCTGGGGAGACCCCTGATATCGCCTTCCATCTAAATCCTAGACTGGACAGATGTTACGTAGCCAGAAACAGTCGTACGAGAGGATACTGGGGAGAAGAAGAAGGGGCAGCCCTTGGTGGCAGTCCATTCAAACGAGGTCAATCATTTATTATTCATATACTTGTTACTGCAACTGGATTTAAGGTAAATGCTATACTATATTTCCTTTCCTTCTTAAAAGTGAACTCTACTAACGAGTCCTTAATTGATCTGTTTCAGGTTTCAGTTGATAGGATGCATTTTTGCAATTTCCCATTTCGGATGCCTCTTTCTAAAGTGTGTCGCTTGGAAATCCATGGGGATATTGTTGTGTCTGCCATTCACCATACAAGGCTGCAAGTGTATCCTGACCGGGCTCTAGATGCTCTGCCTGAGCACTCTTTTAGTACAATACCCACAGATCATGCAGTCCCATGGAGTTTGGACATACCAGAGAAGGTAAGCCAAACTTGTTTTTGTCAGTGTCTTTGTTGTTCATTTTACCATGTAAAGAAGATTTGCCAAAAAAATTCTGCTTATTTTAGGAGAATCTTTATTTTGGACGCTTCAAACCCAATCTATCTTCAGGATTGGAAATAACTATCAAAGGAAGGATGAAGCTGCTCCCTCAATCGTAAGATATTTACTTTACCCATAATCCTATAAATCTATTTTAATTTCCCTTTAAAAGTTTGAATTCTTGGTAAAACTTCACAAAATTTTACATGACAGGTTTTATATAAATTTGCAACAAGGGAGCCAACTGTGGCCACATCCAAATGTACACTTTCACCTCAATCCCAGATTTGCTGCTGAGGATTCCGAACATGTTGTTGTTGTGAATGGTTGGATGCATGGTTCATGGGGAACAGAGCAAAGATACAATAAGTATGAGATATTTTTTTAAAAAAAAAGTAATCTTAGTACGGATTTAAAAAAATTTTAACCACTCATGATTACCTTTTCAGGTGTCGCTTTAGACCTGGGGAACCATTCACCATTGTGATCTACGTGGAGGAACAAAGATATCGTGTCATGGTTAATGGGTTGCAACAAGCTGCTATGCCCCACCGAGCTCCACCATCCCTTGTGGACACACTTGTTGTGCGGGGCGACCTCTTTATAAACCATGTGAGCATAGCAAAATCAGGACCTGCGCCTGAACGGTTGCTAACTCCTGCAAGTCCAACAGGAAGCTGTGAAAGCTTCACCCACATTCCTGACGAAATTAGTATTGAAACCATGCCTAGTCAAGAAAATTTTTCCACATTCACAAAAATGTTGTCATCAAGTGAAGTGAGTCCTAAGGTGGACTGCCAACAGCCAGTATCTGTTAAGTCACCAACCGTGTCTGTGGAAGAGAAACCCTCAACTTCTGTCCCTAGTGCTCCAGTCAGCAGTGAAATTTTGACTTCTGTCTCCACCTTTGAAAGCAAAACTATTAACAGTAGTGAAAGTGACTCATCACCAGAAGATAGCACTCTAGCAACACCAACAACTACAGCTGAGAAAACTGTGAACTTTGAACCTGCAATTGGATCAGGTAGTGGTGAATCTTTAAAATCGGATGGCAGTAAAAGTGGTGATTCCAGGAAGTAATGACAGAGGTAGGGGTCTGAGGATTTTATGCAAACAATTTTATATTGTTCTGTTACAGAAACAACTAATCCACTTCCAAAAGCAGCTTTCTCTATTTTTGTAATGGCTGTTCTTTATGGTGGGTACATTTTAAGACGGTGATTAAAAAAATAATGACACCTGTGTGTCTGTGTGATTTTAATGATTTGTTTTCTATTTTGCACCTAACATGACAAAGCATGCTTTTGGAAAGTGGAACAGTGGACATCTGTAATCATGACTCAAATGTGATAAACTTGGCTTGTAGGCTCGTGAGTGATATTAATGTATAAACTGCTTTCCAGAATATCAATTTAATGCAATTTTATCAAGCAAAAACAAAGAACTTTTTTCCATTTTGCTAAAAGATGATCTGCAATAGATTTGTAGAACCTTAAGTTCCTATTTTTTGATGATTGTTCTGAAATATGACCAATATGATTTTTTTTCTACTAAGAACTTTCTCCAACCTCTCAGCTATTGTGTTTTTGTTTGGTGCCAAGATGACTGAAATTTACAAAAGATGAATTGACATTCAACAGCTGCTGCTTTCTTATATGCTTGTGTCTTTATGTGAGTGGATTATGCAGTATTACATCAGCTATTTGCTTAACTTTTTATGTTTAGTTTTATTATTATTATTTTACAATATTATCCTCATCATCTGCTTTTGCAATTTTGTCCTGTCCAAGATTGTTATTAAGTTGCACAGAAAGTTTGGAGCAGCACATATCGGAGTATTTAGTCTGTGTTTGTTCATTTTTAATGTTTGTGAAATTTTTTAAAGAAACTTTTGTACAACACATGTCTGTAAATTTTTTACAATGTTATTGTTTTTGCATCATATCATATCCAATCATATCACCCTATCACTCAGTTTTGGAACAAACCTGGTTGTAATGATGCCCCCCTTTTTATAAAGGACCCTGTGTTCTTGTGATCTGTTTATGAAATATAAGTTTCAATGAGCTCTTTACTAGTGTTTATTTCTTATTCCTTTTCTCAATTTACTCTAATCTTTGAGTGGCCCAACGTTACAAAGGAAGCAGTAATGCCAAAATAAACGGAGGACACAGGGAATGCCAATATAAACGAGGGCAGAGAGGGAATGCCAAATTAAACGAGGGCAGAGAGGGAATGCCAAATTAAACGAGGGCAGAGGGAATGCCAAAATAAACGATGGCAGAGGGAATGTTAAATGTAGGTATTGACATTGCACTCAAATAAGGGGTCTTACTACTGTATTTCGGGGAATGAGTGGCCAAAAATATTTTGCCTCCCCTTTGTTGTTTATTTTCTTGTGAATTTGCTTTGACAGGTCGCAGCAAACACAAACAAACAACAAAAAGTGGTCGGGGATCAAGAAAAAGAAAAGTAAGAATACCCAAATGTTATTAAATTTTGGACTCCAGGGAGCCACACAACCAACAATAAAGAAGCTTGGTAAAACTACGCCCTGTTGGAGATTAAACCAGAGATTCCATCGCAAAAAAAGTTTCAAACGAGATTTAGTTCGTTTCTTTGCTCTTTAGAATCGCAGGGCATTTCAAACTATTTCAAATTAAAACCTGGCGGTCTCGTCGGAAGGGTGGCTCTCCCGGAGCCACCGCCCTGTCGAAATGGTGTTGGCGTCGAAGAGCGAACAGTTGACGGTCGATTAAAAAAGCAACACCGTTCGCGCCGTCGCCTCGCGTCCGTCGCCATCGCCATTGCTGGAGAAGTCTTGTGGTTGTGCGCGCCGGATCCTGCATCTTTCGACGAATTCGCTGAGTTCGCTGTGCCAAATCCAACAAAATGTCAAAGAAATCAGAAAAGGACGCCCGCAACGACCAGGATTCGGATCCCGAGGAGGAAGAATACTCCGTGGAAGAGGTCCTGGACCGACGCGACAAGAATGGCAAAGTTGAGTATTACCTTAAGTGGAAAGGTTATTCCCATGATGACAATACCTGGGAACCTGAAGAAAATTTAGACTGCCCGGATTTAATCGAGGCATTTGAGCTTAAGCGGCGCAACAAGAAGGAAGAGGACAAGAAAGCAAACCGCAAAAGTCGCACCAAAGACGAGGAGAAGAAGAAGCCGGTTGAAGACAGCCTCGACACGCCTTTAGCCAAGAAGAAAAAGGTGGATAAGCCCGAGAAGGAAGATCGGAAAACCAAAGACGATGACAAGAAGGCGAAGCGGAAGACTCTGGGCGACGACAACAAGCCCCAAGGATTCGGCAGGGGCCTGGAACCGGAGAAGATCATCGGCGCCACCGACTCCAGTGGGCAGCTCATGTTCCTCATGAAGTGGAAGGGGACCGATGAAGCGGACCTCGTGCCAGCCAAACAGGCCAATGAAACCTGCCCCCAGATTGTGATTAGGTTCTACGAAGAGAGGCTCACCTGGCACTCACCTGCTGCTGATGATGAGAAGGGTGTTACTGCTAGTATTTAAGACGTTGTTAATCGAGACTATTGTGACATCATCTATAGTTGCCATAGATTGCGCATGTTCGAGTTTACTTGATTTATATCTTAAAGACTTCTAAATGTTGGTGTTAATTGGTTTTCTTCCATGTCATTTTTTAGTGTTTAATCCTTATTTTTTATAATAATTACTTTAGGTTTCTCTTAAGACCTTAGTCTGGTCCTTCTATTTTATTTTGTACATAGAATAATAAATACTTGACTAAAATTTTCAGTATGTAAGTGTTCATTAGTCCTGGTCAATCATCGACACAAGTCAAATTTATAAAGTGTTCATACTTTGTCAAATTCTGAGGTGTATGTGGCAGTACCCGCTTACTCTTTATAACTTCATGAAATTAAGAAGTAAAATTTAATTAGTTCACAGTATCTTTTATTTTAGAAAGTACACAATTTGATGTAGCAACCCTGGTTACCTGACAAGTTGAATGTCTTGTCAATCTTCTTCAGAGCTTCAAATAGGGATGAAATCGAGGCTCTCAAAGAACGGCTGTGGAATAGTACAGAAGTGGACGGCTGAATACTGTAGACTATAAGTCTGGCTCATAGCTGCTACTGACATGAGCATTGGAGTGGGGACCGTTATGAAAGCCCCCAAATCTACTGTACTACAGGTCACATTAAATTTGAGCTACGTGCAGATCAAAACGACCACCCCGTGGGACTGTTGGGAAATTTTCTATTCTTTTTCAATAACAAAAGTTGAACTTCTGCTCTAAATCCAAGTAAACCTGGAAGCTACGCGACTGGTCGTTAGTAAACAAATTGAGTGGTAACCTTGCATTTGGATGGGACTAATGCACAAAACCTCAAGATCATCTTCAGACAAGAAAAAACTACACTTTAAACATATAAGATCACAGAAATATGAAGTGTACCCTGCCAGACTAGCCACGAACAACTTATCACAGAAATGGGCAACCAGGCTGGTCCTTAGGCCTAAAACCACCTTACAATACAATAATTAATAATATTGTGAATGTTTCAGTCCAGCTTGGTCCTGCTAGTTGACATTACCAATAACTAGCTACTGACCCTTCCTGCTGTTGATAGTTTATATTACAGAAGTTCACAACAATTCAAGCTAACACTTGCACAATCTTCTATAAGATGACATCAGAATGTGATAAATGAACAACAGTAACAAAAAGAATCAATTTAGCAAAGAGTACAAATTCTATGTATGAGTGGATAACAGAAACCCCTGAATGTTTAAATGCCGAGTGGCTTAAAAGGCACTCTTTCTTCCCGAAGTCCCTTTATTAGTTTTGTTCGTTGACATGAGACTAGATTTAAAACCATGAGGGACTTAGTGAAATTTTGTAAAGAAACCAAAGTAATGTAAAATAGTAGTAAGTAAGCTGACACCAACTCAACTTAGCCATAGGTCCAAGTAAAGAGATTTCATCCATTACATCCAAATGACTTATTGGCACAAATGCTGGGCTGTCCCTACAAATTTTAACTAAAATAAAGTTTCTTAACTCCTAGTAATACTTTAAGTAAGCTCAACACAAATTCAAAACAAGGAAAAACAATAACATCAAGAAGTCATTAGAAAACTTCAAAATCTAAACAGACTAACTCAATATCTTGGTGTTGTACAAATACATTAATGTTTGTTAAAAGTACAAGTATTACATACTAGTACATGAAATATACTTGAACACGAACAGGAACGCCTACAAGCAGTGGACCAATTTGAGATTCACAGACAAAACAGAAAAAGAATGTGTAGAAACACTATGTCTTTTATCATAAAATAAAACATTCACAGCACTAACCAAATAGTTTGAAAAATGTTAAGTACTTGGTAATATTTTCAAAACAAGCTTTGCTTATGTCATCCCAGTAAATAAATCTCTTTGGTATGCTGAAAACATTGCATTTATCTTTTTATAAATATTTTCTCTGTTTAGGACAAAGCCATAAGCTCCAACAAGACTAGATTTGGTAATATATGATGACATCCACAAACCCAAGCTAACATAAAAATAAAATTTCTCATTAACTTTCAACTTGTCACACTAAATAAAAAGCTTAAGATACCGACCAAAAAAATAATTGTGCGCCATGGTGACACTTAGGGAGGCAGGTGCTTTCATGATAAACTGAAAACACGCTCACCCAAAAGAATAAGGAAGAATAAGCCAATTTAAAATCAACCTAAATTGGAGTATACATTGTTGACTTGCTGAGTACAACGAATGAATGTAGCGCGCTTTGACAATTCCCTGAGCTCTGCTGCACCAGTGTAAGTGCATGCAGATCGCAGTCCCCCCAGAACATCTAGGACAGTACATTCAACATCTCCTCTGTAGGGGACCTGAACAGTCTTGCCCTCAGCAGACCTAAGAACATGAAACTTAAATTAAAACTCCAAGAATATAAAAAATGAAAGCAGAGACAAAATATACTGTACCTGTAGTCAGCCACACCACCAGCATGTTTTTTCATGGCTGTATCAGATGACATGCCATAGAAGCACTTGTACTGCTTCCCGTCTGGTTTTGTTATGACCTCACCACCACATTGATCATGGCCAGCAAGCATTCCTCCAAGCATAACAAAATCAGCTCCAGCACCAAATGCTTTGGCAACATCTCCCGGACAAGTGCAGCCTCCATCCTACAAAATCCATTCAATCAGACTTTAGCAAATGACCCCAGCAATGTGCAAGGAAGGCATAACGCACAAAACAACCTTCCTCATCAAGTCACCGGTCAAATCATGGGGTCACAGACTTACAGATATAATATGGCCACCAAGGCCATGGGCAGCATCAGCACATTCCAAAACGGCGCTGAGTTGAGGGTACCCAACACCAGTTTTGAGACGGGTGGTACAGACAGAGCCTGGGCCAATTCCAACTTTGACGATATCAGCTCCAGAGAGTATGAGTTCTTCTACCATTTCACCAGTAACTACATTGCCAGCCTAGGAATAAAGGAAGCTACAGATAAAAGAGTGAAAATTGACAGGTGACAATCATGAGTTATAAATGACTTACAATGATGGTGTGGTGAGGGAAGCTGTTACGAACTTTCCGTACAAACTCAACAAAGTGTTGGGTGTAACCGTTTGCAACATCTAAACAGATAAATCTGACTCCAGGGTTTGTATTGAGGATAGCAGACAACCGCTCAAAGTCAGCTTGGCCTACACCCGAAGATGCAGCAACATGGGGAAGACTGCTGGGATGATTTTCGGCAAATTTTTGCCATTCTTCAGGAGAGTAATACTTGTGGATGGTTGTGAAAAGTCCATGCTGATAACATAGAGAGAATAGAACACGTTAAATTAACATAAACTTTGAGGTAAACAACAACAATTGAAGAGACAACAAAGTAACAGTACCTTGGCAAGGACAACAGCCATTTCAAAGGTTCCAATCGTATCCATATTGGAAGCAATCACAGGGATTCCTTTGTAAGTTTGTTTAGAGTTTCTAAAAGTAATATTGCGGAACAGGTCAACCTAAAACAAATTTGAAGGGTACAAGGGAATGCAATTAGTCAAGGTTAATTATGGGTGCTGCCATTCACAGGAAAAGGACATAGTAAGAAAATGAGCGTGTGCATATAAAAATAATGCACCAAACTAATAGTACATTCAATAATCTTAACAACATAAGGACAGCTAAATCTGTAGCTAATTGACACATACGAACCTCAGATCTGCTCTGGAGGGTACTCCTTTTGGGCCGCAAAAGAACATCTTTGAAATCGAGCTTTATCTCGTTAATAATATTAGGCATTTTCGGGGGATAGGGAGTCACGAAACACGGAGAACAAGCGCAGACACGACACACTAGTTTCCTTTTATCACAAAAGTAGACTGCAAACGCTGCAGTCTATATTCCCCTCAGCTTACACAAGCAGACGACGGTCAGTTGATACTACCACCAGAAACAACTGGGCTACTCAGACTGCTCCCTTGCTCTCGACAGGAGCGTTTATGTGCTTCGGAAGACGTACAAAGAAACTCTTTTTTCCAACAGACACAAAAAATTGTACTGATTAAATGGACGCGCCTAATGAGATTCTTCCACGGTCAACGACAGCAACGACTTGAGTTATCTTCTTGACCCCTGTGGCTGCTGCTAACGATTTCAGGGGGAGATTTGAGATTTGACTTTCCCGACCCATATCCCCGGCCTTGTTTATTTTTATCTGTGACCTTGAATAAAGTCCGTCGCAGACTTTGTCGTTTGAGTGGTTGGTATTTATGAAATTAGGCTAGACTTATTATTTCATTTTAGTTGTCTTGTGAACGGGGTAAATAGCAGTCACTGGGTTACTGTGGATTTATCGAAAGCAACTGGAACCTAACATCGAAAGAAATTTGAATAACTTAAGTTTGATTTATCGAACAATTCGTTTTAATCTACCGGTTGATAAGTAAGACAATTGGGTGAACTGGACCGCTTTTGTCCATTCCGAGCGAAACAAATTTGAATATGGCGCGTCAGCGCTGCCTTCAAGAAAATCAGTACAACAGACTTTTAAAATTAGCGGGAATTTATGATTTTTGTGTTGTGAATAGGCAAAACGGCGAAAGTGACAACAATTTTCACACATTTGAGTTCAGAAGCATCTTCCTCAATTTCTAACGACAGTTGCTAGCTCCATGTTTGCACAGTAATTCAGAAAAACAAGTTACAATACACTGTTTCTCTGGCTGATGCTGACAACATTCAAAGCAAACAATCGCAAGAAGAAGTGGAGCATTGTGGGAAAAAACAGAGTTTCATCATGGCCACGCAGCGTTGCTAATAGCCCTATTGTGTTCTCAACCAATATGTTTTCATGCTTCTAAACGAAAGTTACCTCTCAATGTGTATTTTTAGTTCAAAGTAAGCAATGCTACACATTTCTCTGGTAATTTGTGAACACATAGTTTGGGTACGAACGGAAGACTCAGCGGAAATGCATGTTGAACGGACAGCGGGTCGCATGGAAGGTGGAGCAATTTGGATAGGCTGAAACTTTAGAAAGTTTGGCTGGCCTTCATGATCGTTATTATAATACTTGCTATCTGGCACAGAAATTAGTTTATCATCATGAGAACATAGCGGTTTGGCTGCCGTGCTGCCGTGCTTGGTTTGGGCCTGTGGCAAGTTGCTGAATGGTGTCCTAATTAAGCTCTCCTTTGCCAACCAATTTAATTTAAGGGAACTCGATTGATTAAATTGGACTTACGTCGGTGCGTTGTGGCTTACTTTACCAATTATTCCCTGAACCTCTCAGCAAATGCGTTGATGGCACCAGTCCTTTTGATATTCTGAAGTCATAGCAGCCCGAATGCTAGGTTATGAGTCTTGACAACAAGAGACTCTGGTCTGTAAACATTGGTGTTTGTGGTCATGTTTTCCACAGTTTTTAGCTCAATTAAGCGAGATCTTCAAGCAGTCCCCTTTCACATCGACCTCTTAAATTCATTATTTCACAAGATTATAGTTAACATTATTCTACATTTAAATTTTCTAGAGTGACAGCATCTGGTTAGTTCTTTGGCTCTGGCTGGTTCATTCATTTTGAATTGGATTGATGTTGACTCACTTTAGTATAGTTGAAATGCTATAATCAAACCATCTGTTCACTCTGCATTATCTTTTTAACTTGGATCTTGAGCCCAAGTCCTTGTGATCCACATTCTCAGAGGCATGAACTTGTTCAATGTACTTCCTAATGACTGCTATCAAGACTGATCATTAATATCCTCAACAAGTGCTTTACCTTGCACTCCATCAGATGGAAACAACATCAGAAGAGGAGTCATCTGTTCCTTCAATCAAGAGATTTCAAATGAAAATGACTTAATCAACTGTCAATATAATCATATATTTTTAAACATTTGAGGAAGCATTTCATTCAATACTAAGAGCTATCAATTCTTAACGCATTTGTCATGATGCATTCCATCCTTCTATATTCAATTTGATATTAAATCTAACTGGACAGAAAATAGTTTCTAGAGCCTTAAGTTAATGGGATCTGCTCATGCGCCTCCTAAGCATGATGGCATCAAGAATGAAGCTGTCTGCGCAAGTGGCAGTTTTTCTTTGGCCCCGAAGAGAATGTCAAGAGAGAGATAGCGATGGGGGACGTGCTTTGGGTGGGCTTGTTGGCATTGGCATGCTCAGGGTTAAATAGTGGAGGTGGGTACGAATTTTATGAATTGGTCCAATCTAATTCATTTCTGCTGTCTGCTTCTGTGTGCCAATCTTTGTTTGGGATGATAAAGCTGGTGTATTTTGTTTTTACAAGCATTTTTTTATTTTGTTGCTCCATGACATTTGCTGGAACTGTCTTGTGGTACAACAGCATGATTTTCAAGAAAGAAACTAAATTTGTTTGTGGTAGGAGTATTTGCGTTGCATGGCAGGGTTTTGAGCTTCTATGACTTTTCTAGGATGTTATAACTTCTCTCTTATAAATTTGCTTCCCCTACTGTTCCGTTGGGCTTTGTTCCTGTACACTGAATGATGCATGTAAATTGTTGCTCTATTTTTATCTTGTGTCTTCTATCTTGTGGCTGCCCTTATTTATTTATGAGAATTTTTAATTTAAAAAAAAAATTATGTCTAAGTTTTGTGCACTGTATTAGTCAGTCTTGCAGTATTTTTATGAATTTAAACCACACCAGGTCCATCTCCATGGCTAATATTTCTTAAAAGTGACACTAATATACATTGGATTTTTCTCGGACTGGTTTAAAAGGACTCCCAATATAAAGAAAATTGGCAATGGGGCTGGCAGAAATTCCAAGAAATACCATTGTAGTTATGCACTTGTTTCTTCTTATGTGATACATGCAGTATCTAATTGTGTTTCCTGTAAAAGCACCTTGTCAGACCATCAAAATGAACCTGTTACAATCTTTGTAGTACACTCTATGTGATTTGCCCTTAAGAATGTGAACGTCTTGCTGTTTTCTTAGGCAATTTTGAATGAAGGAAGCTGCTTTTTCCTTGGCTTTTAAAAGATTTTGATTGGTTTCAAATCTGATTTTCTTGTCAATATTTGTGACCCTTAAACCAATTTTAATGCAAATGACTGTAATGTACTGATACTTTACTCTTAATTTTTATGTTACAGATGAATTGGGCAAGAATGAGAGAGAAAGTTTGCTGACCCCTGCATGAGCAGCGGAGGACCACCAATGGATAGAATGTTTATTAAACATGAGGCGGGCTTGGATGCAAGTGGCATGGCAAGTGTGGTGGGAAGTGCTGTTGGGAGTGGGGTAGCTACGGATGCAGCTCAATCTCGCATTTGTTTTGTATGCGGGAGTGTAGGGCATAAGGAGCAATTTTGGCTCAATGTCAAACCCAATCCAAGCAACCCAAGCGAACCATACTTTCCATTTCTAGAGAGCCATGAGCCACCTTCAGGTTATAGACATCTTTCCAATTCACGGCCAGACACTGTGGTATGTATTTCACTTTTGGATTCACTTCAATTTCTACTTTAATATGTCAGGACCGAACTGGAATAAATGATGAACTCATAGTGACCAATGCCAAGTATTAATTATTTTATTTTCTTGTTACAGGTTCGGTCCTGCTTCCTTTGTTATTCAGTGTTAATGCAGCAGTGGAACAATCATGAACGTGATAAAACGCCACATGCAAGACGACTGTACTGGTTGAAACGCTGTGATAATGGACCTTATACTGGTGCGGAAATGGGCATGCAAGGTGAATATGCCGCGCAAGTGCTTGGGCTTACCCATGAGCCCAACTCTGCTCCGGTGTCTGTTGCTTTAACCATGACTCCAAGCACTATTCCTGCAACAGAAGCAACAACACCTGCTGCTAATTCTAATCCTGAGTTACCACCTTCTGGAAATCATCCACAACCTCCTTCAACATTTAGGTAAGTTATTAGCTGGTCATTGTTCTGAACTGAAGCATTGCTTATTCAATCATCTCATTGACTGTATTTGTGTTGTTCAGGGAAGAAATTCCAGGCCGTACTTCCTCCATTTCTACCACTAAAGCTGCTAGTTTACCAATTATTACGGGTTTGCCATCTCAATCATTGGACAATGCAAGTCCATTATCTGCAGATATGGCTTTAGATTTAAGACACACTTCTCGAAATTCCCCAACTTTATTGCCTACACCTCAACCGGTTTCAAGTGAGTATTGGTTTTGTCCCTACTGTATTTTGACCCTGCCAAGAAATCTATGAATTGTGGGTTTTTTTCATCTCTTAAATATTGAAATTGTTGTTGAACTTTTTAGGCCCCTTCGCTCGCCTCCCCAGTTCTTTTGGTTTGGACATTTTGGACCTGAGTATGCCTGACAAAAACGCCATGACAGAAGTATGTTATGTCTGTGGTGATGAATTTAAGAAGGGGGTTCTAAGTCACATTGCTGCAAAGCCACAGACTCCAAAACCTGGAGAAGTACCACCTCACCCTTCAACTGTTGAACAGAAGCCCTTCTTTCCAAGTCTGATAATGCATCCAAGACCCAGCAGATCTCGACCAATGGACAGTGCTGGCCATGTACAGGTATGCCCATCGGAGTTGTTGTTTCATGTGTATTTATTATTTGCATTATGTGCAATTATCTTGAATTTTGGTGTGTATTTGAGTTACTAAACCATACTATTTTTGCTTTTTCAGGCATGTGCAGAATGTCAACGGCATCTCCTTCAGCAATGGCATGCACTAACAGCTCAAAGAATACCACACAATGAGCGGAACTACATTCTTCGCAAAAGGCCTGCCCCTGCCCTTGATAACACCACGTTTGTTTGTTACACTTGCGCTCTTGAGTACCCATCTTCTTCACTAAGACTGCTGTACTGTTGCGCGAATGCAGAGAAGGAGCCCTACTTCCCTTTCATATGTAGCCTCAAACCCCCTCCTGGAGCCAGTCCCATATCACCGCAAGGAATGGTGCAGGTACAGTGGCTTTTAATATACTAGATCATTGTTCACTGTGAACTCATCCCAAAACATTCTCTCATTATCTCATGCTTTGGGTTTGCAGGTCTGTTCTATATGCTATAAGTCAATTCCTCAAAAACAACAAGTGTTTGGAGGTGATGCGTCGAGCATGGTCAGTGGGTTAGCAGGCGGTCTACAAGGCAGTGTCGTGGGCAGTATGCATGGAAGTGGTTTAGGCGGTGATACGGGGGCTGCCAGGTTGGCTGGTGGAAGTCAGGTTGGGAGTGACATACGTTTCAAGCCTTATGAATTAAGTCGACCTCCAAGTGCAAGTGGCAGTAGGCGAAGAACTCCAACTTCTGACCAAATGGTTTGTTGTTTTCTTCTCTTCACAGATTTTGTTTAATTGATGTGCTGTATTGAATCAAACTCCCATTTCTTTTATCAACAGGGATTGACAGCTTCTCCTGGAGCTGGTAGTCCGAAACCTCCCTCCTGGCCTGAGCCTCGACCATCGTCAAGACCACAGGAAACTCCACCTCCAGCCATTGGGACTACAAGTACTCAGCAAAGTTATCGCTGCTACGTGTGCACCGGCCTGTTTCCCTGGAATCACCTGGAATGGTTGTGTACAAGCGCCGAAGGCATGAATTCTCATGCAATGCATTTCCCATGTTTAAGAAATGTAAGTCAACTTTTTTGTGCACTCCTGTTGTTGCAAGATATTGGTGGAGACTTTTTTTTCCTATATTTGAACGCTTCTCTTTTCAGGTGGTTCGAAGCAGTGACAACACATCAGTGGATTCCCACGGGCGAGTGCTCGCCTGCACGCGCTGCTATCGGCACCTGGCTCGGCAGTGGGACAACATGGAGCAAGAGAGAGTCCCTCTGGAAAGGCGGAGGTTTGTGTTGTCTCATCCTGACAGGCGTCAAGCCAAGTTTCTCTCGTAACAGCATGTGGCTGGATTTGGGTTCCAGGTACGACTTGCCAAGCCCTGTCCCCGGCAATGCAGGCTGCTGGAACGGGTCCTCGTCCCCGTCGCCGCACCCCCGGTCCGCGCCCCCTACCCCGCCCTCCAGCACCCCCACCCCCACGCCCCCGGCCACGGCGGGCACGGGGGGCAGCTCCATCTACTGCTTCCTGTGCGGCCTGCACTCGGAGCTGACGCTGGCCCGGGTGCTGTACGGCCGGTCACAGGGCCCCAGCGCGCCGTTCTTCCCGCTGCTGCTGAGCCACCACTCGCCGCCCAACGCGGAGCAGCTGCGCGACGACGGCTCGGCGCTCGTCTGCACCTTCTGCTACCACTCCCTGCTGGCACAGTGGAAAAGGTGAGGGGGCGCCGTGCTGTGGCATGCATGACATACACCACGTTTCCGCGCGAGGAAAGTATTCTAACGTTCAAGTGTGTTTCCAGGTATGAGGCTGCCGCCAGCAGTTCGGGCGCGGTGATAACAGTGGACAAGCGGGAGTACAATACGCACGACTACTATTGCTACGTGTGTGGAGTGGCCACTTACCGGCGGAGGGTTCGAGCACTACCCGTAAAAGTAAGACCTCAGAAGACTCGTTTTATGCTTTGTAGAAATGCAAATGGTGCTAACGGACCCCACTCTTGGCTTTCTCGCAGGATTTTCCGTTTTTGAAAGACCACCGGCGGTCCGACAAGCGCCTTCTGCTGGAGAACGGGGACTTCGCCGTGGTGTGCCTGGACTGCTACGAGTCTCTGCGCGCGCAGTCCCTGCAGTACGAGCGGATGGGGCTGCCGGTGGAGAAGCGGGAGTACAACTGGATCACGCAGCCGCCGCCGCCCGAAGACTCGCCCGACGCCTCCATCGCCAGACTGCCGTCCGGAGAACGAACCGAAAAGTCATCGGTAAGGCTACAGCAGCGCCTCTTGGGACGTCGCTACCCCGTGCTGGCTGGTGCTGGCGAGCGCGGCGCTCGCGGGGTAGCGACGATGCGCTCGCCTCCGGTCTCCGCAGCGCCAGCGCTCCAGCGCGCCACAGCACTGTATAGTCTGTCTCCTCTGTTGAACAGTGTCCATCCATAACCACCAGCCGCACCGTCAAGAAACCCCTTCCCTCGCCCAAAGCCGCCGGCACCGGGCCCTCCGCGCCCACCGCGCCCACCGCGCCCACGGGGCCCGACAGGAAGCAGCCGAAGTCCGGACTCGCTCTCGGAGACCACCAGGGTGAGTCTCATCCTAGTTTTTCCTCAAGACGTCCACGTGACGAGGTTGGGTTACTGCGACTCTACAGGGGGTGCGACTCCTCCGGTCTACCCAGAAAATCTGGAAAGGCGCTCGACCGCTCGACATGGCGGCTGGCGCAATTTATGTACTTTGGGACTTCCCCCACTCGGCGACGCAGCGTGTGCGGCGGCCTGTGCGCCGATTTTACACCGACTGGGCAGGACACAGGCGGGCCGGGGGCCGGGCCGCCCGGAGCGCGGCGTGGGCGGCGTGGCGGCGCGTCCCTGCAGCGAGGGCTGGCGGCCGGGCCGGCCACGCCGCCGGGGAGGGCCTTAAGTGTTGACCGCGGGTCGCGGCCCGCCCTTCCCGCCCCCAGCCCGGCCTGCGTGGCCTGCCTGCCCTGGCCTGCCCTGGCCTGCCCTGCGCTGCCGGTCCTCGTCGACCTCCCCTCTGCCGCCGGGTCCGCCACCCTTCAGCTCATTGTGGCGCTAGCGCTGCGCTCTGGTTCGTGGCTCCCAAACCGGGAGATAGGCACGCATCTCGCCCTCCGTGCCTGGCGTGCCAGGCGTGCCAGCCCTGCCGGCCCCGCCGCACCCCGTGGCCTCCATAATCTCTCCATTCCGCCCCGCGGCCTGCGGCCCAGCCACTTGGACGTGGACGCCTCCCTCCCCTTTCTCCTCGCCTGTGACTTTGCGCGGTTTGCCGACTGGATTTTTCCGCCGCTGACTTTTTTCCTCGGCCGCCGGGAAGCTCTGCCTAGCGGGCGTTTTGCAGGGTGCGTCGCGGTGCCGTGTTGGCGGTTGGCGCACATTCAGATCGAGATTCGCCGCTCAAAGCGAGCAGAGCCAGCGCCAGTGAGTGAGTGAAGGGTCCGCCGCGATAAGGCAGGAAGAGGGACTCGGTGCCGGGCGTGCCGAGTTTAGACGAGACGACGACGCCCCGCCCCGCCCCGCCCCGCCCCGCCCCCGTGAAGGTGGGCCCTGCTTCTGGCCACGCCGGGGGCCTGCATGCCTCTCGTGCCTAGGTGGCGCCTGGGCGTGGCGCTGTCGCCGTCGTGATCCTGGTCTGTTTGTTTGGCGCTGAAATCCCTCCGCCGTGCCGTGCCGCTGCGTGCCGCGAGGGGTGGGCGTCATGTGCCACTCGGGGCGTATCCCTTCTCACTCCCCCTCTGCATCTCTCGCTGTCTCTCCTAATCTGTGCATGAGAGCGCCCTCTCCGCCCCGCCCCTCCCGCCAACCCCTCTCTCATTGATTTTCCTCTCCCCCGCCGCGCCCCGTCCGCCCCGCCCGCCCGTCTGGCTGGAGTCGGCGCTGGATGGCTGGAGCGGCGCTGCTGGAGCGAGGCTGCGGGAGCTGCTGGAGCGGTCGGAAGGAGAATGGCCCGCCGCCGCACCCCGCCCGCTGCGCCGCAGCAGGGGCCGGCAGGGTGTGAAGCTTGACGCGCAAGCCCGCGCGAAATTTCACACGAAAGCTGGAGTGAAAGCACACCGCGAAAGTGGACTCGAAGGCAGACCGCTGTCGGCCGCGGGCTTGAAAGCCGCCTTGAAAGCTCTGGCTGGGGTAAAAGCTGGCGGTAAAGCTGGGTGCGTCCGATGCTGCGCATGCTGAGCATGCCGGGTGATGAAATGGGCGGCGCCGCGCGCTGCACGGACTGAGTCAACAGACGGCCGGGTGGACGTCGTCGAGTGGAGGGCGCCGAGGGCGGAGGGAGGGGTGCGAGTGAGAGGGAGGGAGACGAGAGGCGCGTGTGCGCGGTACGGACGGACTGGTGGCCGTGCGGTACAGTGTGCCTGCTGACTCTACAGCGCCTCATGTATGCTAATGAGGGGGAAATGGCTGTCGCTGTCTCTCTCGCGCCCCCACGTGAGAGGGAGAAGGAGCGACGCTGTTCTGAACGAGCGCGCTGCTCGCCAGGGCCGGGGCCTCGGCCGCGTCCCGCCGCGTCCTCGTCCGGGGGCGCGGAAAAGGGGAGCATCCCGACGGCGTCCTCGTCGCCGTGGCCGCACGGCCGCGGGGCGGGGTTGGGGGCAAAGGGCGACAAAAGGGCAGGCGGGGCGCGGCGGGGTGGAGCGGCCGGCCGCTGGACTGCGGCAGAACACGGCGACCCCACGACCCGACCACCCGACCGCAGGCTGCCTGCAGGCCGGCCGGGCGGCCAGGCAGGCAGGCAGGCAGGCAGGCGCTAATTTGTTTGCCTCCCCTCCCCTGAGTCACTCCATTGCCTCTCCATTCTTTCCCACTTCACTGCCTCCTCGCTCCGCCGGCTCCGCGTTGTCTCTCCTCTACCGCTGCTCTGACGCGGGGCCGTGGGGCGGAAGGTGTCGACGCAGCACATGCACGGCCCCTAAGTGGGCCCGCCCCCTTCGCCCCTCCACGCCCCGATCGCTCTGATTGGCTTTTTGCCTAAGCGGTGTGGTCTGGCCACTAGGTCGGCTGGGCCCGGCTGCCGCTTGGGGGTCTTTGCGGGGTCGCCCGGGGTCGCACCTGGTCCGGCCGCGGACCAGACCGCAGGGCGGGGCGGCGCGGCGTCGCTCCGGCTTGCCGCGTTTGGCGCGAACGGACTTAACCCGGCCGGCGTCGCTGTGCGTCGCTCGCTCTCTCTCGCTCCCACCCCTGGCAGTGCCGGCATGTCCTCCCCTCCCCTTGCCGGCCTGCCGCTGCGCCGGCGGGGTGGGACGTCGGGACGCGGCGGGACGCGGCAGCGCTGGGGGTTGGCGGGGCTGGCTGCGCGGCTCGGCTCGGCTCGGCTCGGCGGCGCGCTGCACGCCAGTTTGAGCGCGTCCGCCGTGGGGGTGACTGCGACGCCGAGTCCCTGCCGCGCCTCGCCGCGCCTCACCGCGCCGAACCGTGTGCGCCGTGCCCGGCCGTTGAAGTGAAGCTGTGAGTGTGGTGTGCCGACTGGTACGCGTCTACGCCCCCTGGATAGTGTGTGCGGACGGACTGAGGGAAGGACGGATGCGGACGGATCGTTGTTTGGACGGACGGTCTTCGCGGAGCGCGCGTTTGCCGCCCCGGCGTTGGGGTAGGCGTCGTCGGCGGGCCGGTCCGGTGGTGGCGGAAGCGGCGGCCCGGCGGCGTGGCGGTCTGTCACTTGTCACCCGCGGTTCCGGCCAGCCCACACGGAGGCGCGCTCTGCGCTCTGCTCCCCCACCGCGCAGCGGCCACCGCCGCGACGCCGCCGCCGGCCCGCCCCGGCACTCATGTCAAGCGGCGGCAAGCCTGGCAAGCCTGGCAAGCCACCCGCAGCATGCAGCGCTGCAACCCTTGCGTTTACTCTGCCCGACGGAGGGGTGGGGGCTGCCGCGCTGTCTCTCTCGCATCCCTGCGGTGCGCCCCATGGGTGCGAGAGAGACAGAGCGACCTCTCGTGGCCGCGTTTTCCGTGTGATTTGCTCCCGTTTTCGACTGCCGTCTTGTCCCTCGCGTCTCGAGGCTCCACGAGCGGCAGCACGGCGTCCTGTCGACACCCGCGCGCGAACTGCACCCGGTGCTGCCTCCCCCTCCCCTTTCTCTCTCTCTCTCTGCTCTCGGTCACTGATCGATCACTGCCACCCTCGACACAAGTCAATCACCCCTCCCCCTCTCCGCCCGTCTCTCTCTCTCTCTCTCGCTCTCACCGGCCCGCTGGTGTCGCGGAACGCGGCGAGAGATGCTCCCTCGCTGCCGCTGCGCCGGTCGGGGGTTCAAATACCGACCCTGAAGGCGTTCCGGGTCGCGCCGCATCAGGGGCTGGCCTTTTGCTCGCGGCGCGTGCCGGGCGTTCCCGGCGTTCCGGGCGTACCGGGCGTGCCAGTCACGGGCGTGGGGCGCACGCGCGCGAGGAACGCGCCGGACAGTGCACTGCCGGCGAGGCATCGCGTCAAAGCAACTTCTTCTGCTATTTTCTAAAAAAATTTAATGTTTTGATTGCTGATGGTGTGGGTTGTACGTTTCTTCAAATCGGACCCCGCCTTTGAAACGTGTGGGGTGCTCCGAATCGGATTTTGGGTGCTCCGTTCGGCTGCGCGGCTCTCTTTTGCCGTGTAGGCAGGGGCGACGGGAGGTCTCCGTCGGCGCGCGGGGGGAGGCGAAGCACACGATGAGTGCCGGGGTTTTTCTTGTGGCTCACGTACGGCGCGGCGGCGTGCTCCGTGTACGGGGGCCGTAAGCACGCTGCACCCTCGCCCGACCGCTTCCGTGCGAGAGAGAGAGAGAGAGAGAGAGAGGAGGGAGGGAGGGAGAGAGGAAGGAGTAGGGGGGAGGTCGTGGCAATTACTATACGCTCTATGTATAGCCAGCTAGCGGGGCGGCCGAGGCCTACGCCATAGAGACGCACGCACGCAACCTCCAACCCTTTGGACGGCGGCGTTCCTCTGTCTCTCTCTCGCCCTCGCGGGGTGCCCCGATGGTGTGCGAGAGAGAAAGGGCGTCGTCGGTCGTGTCCAATTGTCACGCACCGCGTGATTCGGCTCGCGGCCTGCAAAGCCTCCGACTACAAGCAGTCTGTCTCTCTCGCTCCCCTGTGGCGTCCCGCTGGTGTGCGCGAGAGAGAGAGAGAGCGTGACCCGGCTCGCGTGCCGCCCGATGCGTTGGTCCCCTCGCGACGACAGCGGCACGCCCTGCGCGGACACGGCCGCTTGGCCCAGGCAGCGCCAGGCAGGCAGTCCGATCGCCCACGCCGCGCCGTGACTGTCACGGCACTGTCACGACAACCGTTTGGCTCCCCCGGGGGGTTAAATTGAATGCCTGTTAAAATTTTGGAGGGGAATCCGCGCTTCGATGCCGGGGTTGAGTGTTCGCCCGGCCGCCCCAGCCATTGAGCTGCGCCGAGCGGCCATTGAGTCCGCCAGGCCGCCGGGCCAGCCCGATAGATAGATAGCTAGAGCGCCGCCATGACCGCCGTCCTGGCCGCCACCCTCGCCGGCGTGCCCGCGCGTGCCCGGCATGCGTCGTCGCGTCGCCCCGCCAGACGCGGAAAGGGCACAGGGCCCAGGGCCACGCACACTGTGCCGTGCGGCAGGCG